TGGAGGATTGCCCAAGTGCTTGGGTCCTGCACCCCATGGGAGACCAGGAGAGGCACCTGGCTCCTGCCATGGGATCAGCGCGGTGCGCCGGCCGCGGCGGCCATTGGAGGGTGAACCAACGGCAATGGAAGACCTTTCTCACTGTCTCTCTCTCTCACTATCCACTCTGCCTGTCAAAAATAAATAAATAAATAAAAAATAAAAATTAAAAAAAAACTTTAAAAAGATTCATTTTTAATTATCTTTATATACAGAAGATCAACTTAGTATATACTAAATAAACATTTCAACAGTTTGCACACAAAATATAAAGTAAGGAAAGTGAAGAGGCAACCTACAGAATGGGAGAAAACATTTGCAAATTACGCGACGGATAAAGGATTAGTAACCAGAATCTACAAAGAGATCAAGAAACTCCACAACAACAAAACAAACAACCCACTTAAGAGATACCTAAATAGACAGTTTTCAAAAGAGGAAATCCAAACAGCCAACAGAAACATGAAAAAATGCTCAGGATCACTAGCCATCAGGGAAATGCCAATCAAAACCACAGTGAGGTTTCACTTCACCCCGGTTAGAATGGCTCACATAGAGAAATCAGCTAACAACAGATGCTGCGAGGATGTGGGCAAGAAGGTCCAGAATGTTAAAAACAAAACTGATGAGATAAATAGAAGCCACCTCTTTATGTCTTAGCTGCTCACCTAGAAAATGGATTTAATAATAGCACTTACTTCTTCAGACTAGTTCTGAGAATTAAGAGAAGACAGATGTATGTAAAGTACTTAACATAACACCCCCCACACCCTAACATTACCTTCACTTGAGGCAGCGCCATTCTGAATTATGAGTACATAGGACATAGCTTCTGCTTGTAATGGGTCTTTGCTGAATGCCCCCATCTAAGGGTAACCTCCCTCTAGAATCAAGCCACCTGGCTAGACCAAAAGTTCATTTGCCATTTACTTGCATAAAAGGATCAATATTTGGGCTTTGGGCTTTCTTGAGCTTTCAGTGTAACTACTCTACCATGATGGTGTGAAACATCCTTCCATAGTATTTGTTTTTCTCAAGTCATTAAATTAGTAATCTCTGAAAACCTCAAGAACTGAATTATTCTGATCATTCTCATTTACTAGGAAGATATAATATTTGAGGACTGGTATACAATGACTTGTTACTCAACTGGGGTTTCAAAAGATCATCACTTAAAGTAGTGTCTCATAAGCACAAAGTGAACAATATGCAATCTCTTTTAGTCAAAGTGGCCAAACTTTTTTTTTAAAGTGTGTTTTGGCTACACGTCAGAATCGAAGGTCATTGGCCCTTCAACATGCAACCTGAGAGCCAAAGAAGGAAGCCAGCTATTTCAGAGAATAGATGCTTAACTGAGCTTAACTGAATCAGTTTTCCAAAACCTTTTTGAATTACAATACAATGCAACAGAGAACATGAGATTTTATAGTCTTACAATGAGTTCAAATCATGGTTTTGGAGCCTCATAGCTTGGACCCATGTCTTTGCTCTCTTTGAGCCCCAGGTTCCTGAACTATAAATCAAGGATACAAATTTGAATGAAAAATGTAATTGCGAAGATTAATTAAGATAAAATATAATAACATAAGATTTTTGCTAAAAGGTGTTCAAAGAATACTAGCTTCCTTCTTTCTGTTTATTTGGTTAGTAAGCTTCAATTAATTAAAAAAAAAGTGAAAAGTGATAACTTGAACAGACTCCATGAATAGAATCTGACTTTACAATATAATAATGTGTCAGAATTTATTTTTAAAAACATGCCTTGTATTTGGCAGACTCAGTGAACAATAGACTGTTTGAAAATATGACTGACTCTTTCCAAGGTCAAGCGTCCTCAGCCCCTTTCACTCTGCTTAGAATTCCTTGCTTCAGCCAGGAAAACATTTCCAGGCACGTGATTTGGCTCATTCTTATTTTTTTGTCCTTTGTATTAGTACCCTTTTTGAAATGACCTTCTGGGGTCTCTCAGCCAAACTCCATACTCTTTTAAAAATTATTCAATATTCATTGAACAGTTAGCAGAAAAAAAATCTGTTCAGGTGATTTACCCTGGTCTACCTTTCAAGGCTATAGGTTCTTCCAGGGATCTCTACTAATATCTACTTTTAGATTTTTTTCTGCTATGATTCCCTACACCTTTTCTATTTTTAATCTTTTTTTTTCTTTTTTGACAGGCAGAGAGATAGTGAGAGAGAGAGAGACAGAGAGAAAGGTCTTCCTTTTGCCGTGGGTTCACCCTCCAATGGCTGCCGCGGCCGGCGCACAGCGCTGATCTGAAGCCAGAAGCCAGGTGCTTATCCTGGTTTCCCATGGGGTGCAGGGCCCAAGTACTTGGGCCACCCTCCTCTGCACTCCCTGGCCATAGCAGAGAGCTGACCTGGAAGAGGGGCAACCGGGACAGAATCTGGTGCCCTGACCGGGACTAGAACCTGGTGTGCCAGCGCTGCAAGGTGGAGGATTAGCCTATTGAGCCGTGGCGCCGGCCAGTACTTTTTCTATTTTTAAAAATTCTTTCTCCCTATCAGTTGAGACTCCACCGTTCCATTTCTTGGGTTTACACTGAGGACACTCAGGATCAGAGAAGTTCTCAGCTGTTCAAGGCCACACAGTAAGGTGGATGGAAGCAAGTAGCCAATTCTTTGGGTATTTAACATGGTGTTTTTATTTCACTTGCTAGGGAAATGGTATTACTGGTGGACTTCCTCAGAAACAGAGGGAGAAATTCAGGCATGAAGAGGCAGCTCTATCAGAAGTAAGAGACGATGAGGGGAATAGGGTGTGATGAGAGATAGGAAGAGGATGGAGGAGGGAAGGGAGGGAGAAAGGATGCCTCCAAGGAATAATCAGCCAATTCCAACCATTTCACTCACATTACAAGAAAAAAAAAAAACAACACAACAACATCATTTCTGCTTTGCCTCAATTTGTGATTAATAAACAACACTACTGTCACTGCCAATGAAAACAGCAACATAACTGCTTTTCTCCCAGCAGTAACTCTAAACAATCTACTGGATTTGGGTCAAAATTGTAAACTGTCAGTATGTTAAAAATACAAACAGAAAAACAAACCTGGCATTTTCCGTAAGGTTGTGGGGGTGAAAGCAGGACAAGAGCCAGAGAGAAGAGTTGTTATAAAAATAACCAGCGCAAACATCCTTGAACTGATGTTTTCTATAAAAATCTGATGGCTGTGAATTGGAAAGAGTGAAGTTGGAAAGGGGAGAGGAATGGAGGAATCAAGTGGTGTCTGCTTATCGTCAGCTAGCTTTCATGTAAAAGTCATGGCAGGGTCAGACACAAACTAGCCAGGTGGCAACTCCAGGCCATGCTGCCATAAATAGTTATGTACTAATGTCACACAACCAGAGCTAGATGCAAAGCATATGGGAAGAAAACATTCTCGTGTAAATATTCAGAAAGAGTGGTTACTGAATTCAGGGTCCATTATTGGTGGTTGACTTTAAGGCGCCTGAAAAAGTGAAGTTTAAAAACATCTGGGCTAAAAGATTCATAGAAATGTATTCACTTAAAAACAAAGTCTTGGCTTAAAAGAGTGTGACTGCTAGACGTAGTAATTAAGCATTACTGAGAGCTGGCAAGAGCACAGACTCTGGAACCAAAATTTGCAGTTTAAACTTTACCCCTGCTACTTACTTGTTCTCACGACCTCTGGAAGTTCCTTAACTTTTTCATGCATTTTATACACTTTGTGCAAAAGGGAAGAGGAGGATGATAATGGCAACAGTACCTGTCTCACAGGAAATTACGAGCATCGGCCAGACTGTGCAAGAGGAGCCAGCAAACACTGTCCATTTTTTGCAAGCAGTCTTACCGGGGCTATTTATTTTACCAGACTATCTGCTGGCCACTGCTAGGCAATTATTTACGTGTACTACCCTATTTAACCTTAAAAACAGTCCCACGAATTTAAAAAAAAAAATAGTTTTAAAGACAGGAGGTTCTGATGGATGAAGGAATTTGTCCAATGAGGCATATCTAAGCTAAACTTACAACCCAGGCTTGACTCTGTATGAAAGATTTTTAACCACTTACACGTTCTCGAAATCTAAGCATTTTTCTTTCATCTGTTTAAAATGTTAAAGTCTTACGGAACTTGACATGTGACTTTCCAGTTAGAAAATAGGTTTTTAAAAAGGGATTAAAGGAGGGGATGAGATCCCAAAAAATTGCCTCAGGAGACCTATGAAATCCTCTCATAGCCTATCTACGGTACAAAGGATCCATTCAATGACTAATTTCTCCAAGCACTTAAGAGCGCCTACTGCTTGCTCAGAGCTGGGGTTACCAGGACAAGTAAGACCATGGCAGCCCCTGAGCAACTAACCGTGCCGAGGGAAAGTGACATTCTTTCCTGCCGGCTGTTTGATGATGTCGGATTTAACTGTTTCCCAACAAGGACAAAACTGTCTTCCTCGCGAGCAGAAGTTGTAGGACTTCTCTCAGCAGAAGCCAAGCTGTGTGTTGACAGCGATGCTAGTGGGTTTCACTGCTCGGTTCCTGCTGCAGAGCGAGACAGGCTTTGGTGGAGCGACGACGGCGTTTCTTCGCAGGCCACGCACCGCTAGCAGCCGCGCTAAAACCCGCGCGTTTGGAAGCGCATTCAAATCGCGCGCCTGAACAGTGGCTTTCGCGGGCTCTGGCTGAAAGCTGGCGGGGCACCCGTGAGATCTTCTCCCGGGTCTGCGTGTCAGGCCCCCAGGCTTCTCGCAAAACAGGTAAAGCGTGTACGTCACGAGCGTCGCCGGGGTACCCCAGGTGGGCGGGGCCGGGGCGGGGGAGGCATTCCTGACACCGGAGACTCCGGCGCTGCGCCCTCCCCGTCGGCGGCGACTGCTTCCTGGTTGGTGTGCCCTTAACTGACATGGCGGCGAGACGCCTTCGGTCGACTCCACTGCGGCTGCTCAGTAAACCACGCTTGGGCAATCCGGTCTCTAGCCCGCCCCTGCTGCGTAGGTGCCGGGTGAAGCCCAGGACGTGAAGTGTCTCTTGCTCCGCCTGCGCAGCTTAGAGGTGTACATTAGGGGGAATTGGGGCCGGCCAAGGAAGACGAGGACCCAGGGGCCCGTGCGGCTGGGTGCCAGTCCTTCGTAGCCTGACATTAAGGCTGCTCGAGCCCCAAGTGTTTCTCCTGTCTCCCCCATCTCGTGGTCCCCGGCCCAACATGATACTAACCAAAGCCCAGTACGACGAGATAGCTCAGTGCCTAGTGTCTGTACCGCCCACCAGGCAGAGCCTGAGGAAGCTGAAGCAGAGGTTCCCCAGGTAAGTGTCCGCCTCTCTCCGCTCACTTCCCTTTGCCTGCAGCTGCACTGCCTGGGCCCCGCGCTGCCGGCGCTTAGAAACCACGTGTTACACACAAGTGGGGAGGAACACCAGTGTCAGGCATTAGGAGATCGGGATGGCGAAAAAGATTCCGTCTGCCTTCCAGCCACAACTCCTAATGCACGAGACCGTTGCAGCCTCCGGAGGTCTTGCCATTAAATTCAAACCAGGGTCTAGTGTTTATCGAGGACTTGGTATGTGCTGGTGATGAGTGCACTTGACTGGCGAGTTGTAAATGCCCATTGGTTAACTCACAGACACTGGGAATGAGTGATGGGTGGCAGGGTCCTCTCAAAGTGGAAATACGAATTCTAGATCCACAAGGAGGAAATGGGGACCTTTTTCATATGGCCACTGGAATAAACAAGGGAATTCAGATCTAAAGGAGGCTCATATTGATGGAATATGGCTTTTATTCTTGACTGCAATTAAGTGACCTCAAGGGTTCTCGATCCTGACACCGTTTGTTGCCCCAGGAATTCCACTCTGGTATTAGCCATTTGAACAACCAGATCTGACTGTTTGTCCTCATATATATACACTTTCCAGATGTATTTCATCCACTTCAAGAGGTTCATGGAAAATTAAATTAAAAGATAAGTTTATTTTTATTCCAAAATTTTGAAATTTATGCATAGTTTGTTCATCATACCCACTTTTCATGAGTGTTTGAAGACCCCTCATGTGCATAGACTTCAAGAGTTTTTGCAAGATAAATTCTTTGTTAAAATTTTTTTTTTTTTGCATTGATTAAAAAGGCAGAGTGACAGAGAAGGTTGTAAGTACAGAGATAGAGCCTGCGTGCATAAACCTCCATCTGCTGATTCACTTCCCCAGAGTCAGCAACACTGAGTAGTAACCCAAACTGAAGCCCGGAGCAGAGAACATCATCTGGGTTCCCCGTGTGGGTGACAGGGACCCAAATACTTGGGCCACCATCTGCTGCCTCCCTGGTGCATTTGGAGGCAGCTGGATGGGAAGCAGAGATGAGATTTGGTCCCAGGCACTCAGATATAGGATATGGATGTGCCAAGTGGCAGCTTTAACCCACTGTGCCACAAAACCCACCATGAATCTTATCTTTTAATTACATTTTTTCCATGAATTTTTTGAAATAACTTCCTATAATATAGATTCTCATTTTAAAGATGTGGACACTGTGACCCAAGCAATTCTTGAAGAGCCAGTACAGAGCAAGCAGTTTATTGTATTTATGCTGTATTAAAAGTATAGAATGTTTGTTTCCTTTTTTCCTAATTCAAAACCAAATTCAAACCTGTAGTATTGTCTCATTGCATTGAATTTGGTTATCCCAAGTGGAGACCTTCCCTATCTTTAATGTATAACCCTTGATTGGGCATTATGATAGAAGTATATTCTTAAGGAAACAGAAGTTACTGGATAATTGGTATTAAAGTACAAACTGACCTCAGTTTTTTTGTAGGACTTAGTTTTCCTAGTCTGTAAAATGAAGGATTGGGGCTGGTGCTGGGGCATAATGGGAAAAGCCGCCATCTGTAGTGCTGGCATCCCAGATGAAAGTCAGTCCGAGCTGGCCGCTCTGCTTCCAATCCAACCCCCTGCTGATGGCCTGGGAAAGCAATGGAAGATGGCCAAAGTGCTTGGGCCCCTCCACCCACATGGGAGACCCAGAAGAAGCTCCTGGCTCCTGGCTCCTGGATTTGGATCTTCCCAGTTCTGACTGTTGTGCCCATTTGGGGAGTGAACCAGCGGATGGAAAAGCTCTCTCTCTCTCTCTCTCTCTCTAACTCTACCTTTCAAATAAATCAAAAAAAAAAAAAAAAAAAGAAGGATCTCTTTCTAATATTATCTAGATTGAATGTATTGCAATATTTATCCTTTTATAGCCTTTAGAATATATTTTTAAAAATTTTACTTTTTTTTTTTTTCATTTTATTTGAAAGGCAGAGAAACAGCAGCGAAAAAGAAGCAAATCTTCTGTCCGCTGGTTCACTCTCAAATGCCCTTAACAACCAGGACTGGGATGGGCCAACGCCAGGATCCCAGAACTCAACTTGGATGTCCCCATGGGTGGCAGGAACTCAAAAACTTGAGCTATCACCACCTGCCTCCCAGGATGCACATGAATAGGAATTTGGAGTTAAAACCCAGACACCATAATATGGGATGCCAGCATCCCAAGTAGTGTCCTAACCACTGTGTCAAACACCCACCCCTTGAACAGGTTTTAAAATTCAGTGGTTCTTTTTACCAGAGAGCCAGGTAAAGACCTTAGAGATAATTTTTTGTGGTTCAGAGATGTTAAGTGACATCAGAAATCCCAGAGATATGTAATGACTATACAATACCTGGAATGTAGGTTTATTTTTCTTTTTTAAAGATTTACTTATTTATTTGAAGATCAGAACCACAGAGAAAGAGGGAGAGACAGAGTAAAAAACCTTCCATCCTCTGGTTCACTTCCTAGATGGCCACAATGGTCGGGGCTGGGCCAGGCCAAAACCAGGAGCCAGGAGCTTCTACCAGGTCTCCCACATGGATGCAGGGGCCATCCTCTACTGCTTTCCCAGGCACATTAGCAGGGAGCTGGATCAGAAGTGAAGCAGGTAGGACTCAAACCAGTGCTCATATGGGATGCTGGTGCCACAAGAGGAGGCTTAACCTACTATGCCAAAACACCGGCTCCGGAATATAGGTTTCTTGATCTCAGTTCAGACTTCAATGTTAAAACAATCTTGATTATTTTTAATATTAATAATAACATAGCAGTTTTTTTTGTGGATGACATTCCCATGTATATAGTCTTTTTCCCTTCTTGTTTTTTTTTTCCAGTCTATTATTGTCTGTTTATATAGTTTATAAAACTTGATCCCTACTCCAACATAATGAGAGCATTCCTCATCTTTAAAAATTCTTCAGAATTTGTCTTAAAATAACTAATAATATCACATTCTGGGTGTATCATTCATTTCCTTCTTGTTGGATATCAAAGGTTTGAGTTTTCTGATTTTTTTTTCCTAATGTATTTATTTGTTTGAGAGTCAGAATTGGAGAGAGAGACTGACAGAGAGAGACTGGTTCACACCCCGGATGGCTGTAACAGCCAGGGCTGGGCCGGGCTGAAGCCAGGAGCTTCTTCCAGGTCTCCCCTGTCTGTGGCAGGGCCTAAACGTGTGATACTTTCCATTGCTTTTCCCAGGCCATTAGGACAGAGCTGGATCAGTAGAGTAGCTAGGAATTGAACTGCTGCCCATATGGGCAGTGGCTTTACCTGCTGTACCACAACGCTGGCCCTCCTGTTTTCTGATGTTTTAATATATGTTATTTGTGCACATATATAGTACCAAGCCTGTTTGTTTTCTTACTTTAGACTGTCAGAAATTGGGTATTACCAAATCATTAAGTTTTTACCATTTTGATTGCCAGATCCTTTTATACTTAAAAAAACAGTATTGAAGACCCCTCCAAACTTTTATTTATGTGGGTTATATAATTTGATATTTATTCAAGTATAAATGAAAAGAAGGGAATAAAAAATCACTTTATTTTAAAAATAGTAAATCTATTACTTGTTACCATATTCTTATGAATAATAACTAGAATTTCAAAAAAATGTAGTGAGAAAGTGGCATTGTTTTACCCTTTTGTAAATCTCTTTCATGCTTGCCTTAATAAAAGAAAGACATATCTGACTGTGTTCCACTGTTGTGATATATTGTTTTTGATTAAAGAATATGAAGAAACTCTTGCCTTCAGACATATATGTAATTGGAAAAGGGGTGAATAACTTAAAGGGCTTTTTAGATAATTGTGGTTATTTTTGTTATTACATAAAACCTAACAAATGGTATTTTCTTGAAGGTTAATTGCAATGTGAAATCTGAAACCATATCAAGAAACTTTCACACTCTGTTATTTTGCAATCCATTAGCCTAGTTTGAACTTTGAATGGATCCTTTACCCATGCATGATTTTTATCATCATGCATTGTTCGTTTGCATAATGTTGGTTGTGAGTTATGCAAATTTTCCAAATGTTGTCACCTTACATTATACAATATCAAAAAAATCAACATTTGTTAATATCACCACTGATCTCATCAGAAGTCTGTGAGATTTGAAGCTGTCAGGCTTATGGTGATGGATATGAGCTTTCCAATATTTGAGTTTTCCCTTGAAAGCTCAAATTTTATCATTGGCAACAAACGTTATCCGTTGTTTTCCTTGAAGTGACAGTCTCACATTGTTTATTTTTGAGAAAATGTCTGCCAGATTCCCATATCTGAATAATCATACTTTGTTCATCATTCATTCAAGTAAAAATGGTGTTCCATGGAAAAAGTGGCTGGTTTAGCTTTAAATTCATGCAAGTGCTTTCTCCTGAGACACCTGCCGTACTTTGATACACAGAAGGTGTGCTTTGGTTTTGCTTCTTGTTTTGTCGTACACAGTGTCAAGAGTATGTGTTCAAGAGCTGAGATTTAATAAAATTAATAGGTGAATATTCTTAGGTGAGATGGTCTTTTTTCTCCAAACGGTTGTCCCCTGCCAGTGTGCAGTAATGAATAGAGTGAGGACTAATGCAGTTAGGGTGCTCTAGCCTTGATTTGCACGCAGGAGTGGATGGCTTCACCAGCCGTTGTTTTCCCCCACATTGCAAACGTCAGTGCAGGGGAAAAAGCAAATAATGTCTTCTTTTTTTTTTTTTTTCAATAAAAATAATTTTGACTGATTTATAGACCCCCAAAGAGGATCTCAGAGATTCTAGGCGTCTACTGACCACACTTTGACAATAGCTAGCTATTTGAAATCAAATGCTATTTATATCTTGAAGGATTTTTATGTGTATTGACAAATTACTGTCAAAAAGATTGCATTAATCCTGTTACCAGCAAGGCATGGTAGTGTCTGTCTCTGCTACTTTTACTAGCATTGAGGAGAATCATTATTTAATCATAT